GTGATATTTCTGGCTATTCCTTTCTCTCCCCCTCCAGTGTCTATTTTTTTTAATGGTATGCCAGGGAAACCAAGATTCAAAAGACATAGGCTCCCTCTTGAAAGCTTGCAAACCAGTCACTTCTTGCCTTTGTAGCCCCCTATTTTGGGTAGCCAATGTCAAAGTTGCCCATCCCTGTCTACCCTGTGTATCGAGCGGTGGGAATGATTCTCGCTGTAAAGATTTGTTCCCACTTTTGGATTACTGCATCCATATGTGTAGGTCAAGTTCATCAAATTATATCAGATTACTCTTCTTTCTTCTTTTAGTTGAGTTCAGTCAGTAGGTTTTATAATCAGGATAAGTTGGCTATAAAAATGTCTTGAATTTCTTCAATTGTTGTTGTTAAGTGCCGTCGAGTCGGTTCCAACCCATAGCGACCCTGAACAGGGTTTCCAAGGCTGTAAATCTTTACAGGAGCAGAAAGCCTCATCTTTCTCCCACGGAACAGCTGGTAGCTTTGAACTGCTGACCTTGTAGTTCGCAGCCCGATTTGTAACCACTACGCTAGTGGAACACATTAAATAATACTAATACTTGAACCTAAGTTTTTATAAATAGAATTTATATCTATTTAAATATATTTAGTTTTGGTTGGTTGGTTACGTGCCGTGGAGTCGGTTCCAACTCATAGCAAACTTGTAGGGTTTCCGAGGCTGTAAATCTTTATGGTAGCAGAAACTCTCATCTTTCTCCCGTGAAATAGCTGGTAGTTTCAAACTGCTGACTTTGAAGTTAGCAGCCCAAATCGTAACCACTATGCTCTTTACGTACCAATATACAAAGCTGTCATTTAAAAGTTCATAAAGAGGGAGGGTGGAGGGAGGCAAAAGTAGAGCACAGGGTACAGGGCAGACACATCATAATTCGGGTGTTAGGGAGGGCAGTACACAAGAAGAGGGAGAAGGTGGAAGAGCAAGGTATATAGGGAAACACTGAGACAGGTTTATATAGGCTAAATGGGACAGAGGTAAACAGTGATGCATGCTAAACAACAGTGCTCGGTGATATAGGGATTGAGGTATAGTCTGAAGAGGGAAATATTACTAAAATGCTTGACTGTCTTATGAATATTGGTTTCCCTTGCCTACTACTGTTGGGAAACATGATTACAGAAAACTTGTAAGCCCATCTTCAGCCTATACCCAAAAGGTGTTCTAGAACTTGCCCAGTGAAATACACCTCCTGTGGAGCCTTTGCAGAGTACAGGACCTTAGGTGGAATCCTAAGTCCCATCCAGAACCTTATGAGGTGGGACATTCCCACTAGCGTGGACAAGCAGATCAGCCTGGAATAGCTAGAGCAACAGAAGATACATCTTCAAAGAAATATCATCAGGAAAAGCAAAACAAAAATGGCAGTATGACCGGCTACTACAAAAATAAGCAAGTTGTTTGCTGGGAAGCCATCAAGGCAAGTAATCAAGTCCCTTTAGAACAACACCCCCTTTAAGACTGAAACTCAAAGGAAACACATGAGCAGGCATGTAAGTTTGCCCATGTTGGTCTCCTGGTGAGTAGAAGAGGGGGAAAGGCAGCAATGAAGAAATGGGTTGAGTATAATAACATTCCATAGACTCCTGTTGACCTGGAGATGAGAGAGAGAAGAGGAAAGGGTGGTTGATCCAAAGTGTGGGGAGACATGGGGACGCCTGAACTCATGGACAAGGACATAGCCACAGAAGGCTAGAGCTGAAAGTGAAGCTTCTAGCTGATATGAAGTGAGGGGAGACACACAAGAACACCCAATGTTGCAGATAGTACCCATTTGACCTAGCATCGATGGCTTAATAACCAGAACTCGACTAGACGAAAATAAAAAAACAAAATAAAACAATTTTTTGATAAAGGAAACAAGGGTAAATTGCTACAATTTGATGAACTTGACCTATACTCATGGAGGCAGTAATTCTAAATACCAACAGAGAGTCTTCACATCAAGTATCAATGTTATCCACTCTGTACACAGGGTAGATGGGGACGGGTAACTTAGATATTGGCTACCTAAAATGAGGAGGTGATCAAGGCATGAAGTGACCTATTTACAGGGTTTCAAAAGGGAGTTTAGTTTAAGAGTGTGTGGGGAAAGACAGAAACCCACTAAATAGTTTTCATCTTGTCTAGATAGGTCTGGTAAAAAGAGATGGGGTAAGATTCTTATGATTCAATAGTAATTGCTATCAAGACTAATTGCGACTGTCATAATTGTAAAGGTAGAAGTTTTGTAACAAAAACAGGGGAGTTTTAATGCATAAATAATTTTAGGAGGTTCCAATTATCTAGTTTAAGGAACCCTGCTGTGCTGTGGATTAGGCAATGGGCTGCTAACTGCAAGGTTAGTGTTTAAAACCCACCAGTTGCTCCTCAGGAGAAAGATAAGGCTGTCTGCTTCCAAAAAGATCTATAGTTTTAGATAACCTATATATACAGTCACTATGAGTCAGAGTCAACTCAACTGCAGCAGGTTTGATTTGGTTTCGTTAAGTGGTCTATTTTCTGCTGTTTGTATATTTCCAGTTAAGTCTGATAGCCTATTTATGTCATAAATTAGGGCCTCTAGCTTGGTCTCCATTTTTTCTTCCATGAACTTCATAGTTTTAGGTCTTTGATCCATTTTGAGTTCGTTTTTGTGTATAGTGTGAGGTATGATCCTATTTCATTTTTCTGCAAAAAGACACTCAGTTTTACCAGCACCATTTGTTAAAGAGACTATTTCTTCCCCACTTAAAGAACTTTGGCCTTTTGTAGAAGACCAGCTGTCCATAGCTAGGTGGATTTACTTTGGGATTCCCAATTCTGTTCCATTGTCTCTGTGTGTGTTGTAACAATATCAGGCTCTTCTGACTACTGTAGCTAGATAGCAGTTTCTGAGGTCAGGAAGCGTGAGGTATAATTTATTCTTTTCAATTTATGCATACTACTACTTTTTATTATGTGCCGTTGAGTAGGTTCTGACTCATAGTAACTCTGTATAGGGTTTCCAATGAATGACTAGTAGGTTTGAACCACTAACTCTCGGGTTAGCAGTCTAGTGCTTATCTTATAGCACCACACTAGGACTCCAATTTTTTAATCCTTAGAAAATGCTTTTATTTTCATAAATCAGCTCAAGTCCCTATCTAAAATAAGAGCTAAAATTCCAAAGAAGAAACAGTACATTGTAACTAGTAACAACACTAAAAACATCTATAGGGGAAAATTATCTTATATTTTTTCTGTTATCTCGGGGGGCAGAAAACACAAAGAAATTAATGGTGCAAGCAGTGATGCTATCAGATAGACCATTTTAGGGGTTTAAATTAATCTGAAATTGGGAGTTTGGAGAAGCAGCTGGCATCATTTCCAGATGAACATACATTTTTCAGAAAACCATTATTATATGCTTGATTGATATTTGTTATTTCTGAATAACATATGACTGGAATAAACTGATTACTTCTGCTTTCATCATTGCAGTTAAACTATAGAGGGGGAGATTCTTCATTTAAGGAACAAATTAGATTTAAGAAAGACTTCCCCCTTACAGAATAAAAGCTTTTAAGGAAAAGAAACTCTTTTTAAAAAACCAACAACCCAAAAACCAACTAGCCATTCAAACAGAAAAACAAAAGACAAATCATGGCTATTACAATTCATCCTAGCGGTTTAGTGATTTGGGATAGAACTTAACATGGAAAATTAAGCTTTCTGTAAAGCCATTCTTTGCAGTGTAACTTACCTGCTTTATATGAAGAGCGCACCAAAGGGCCACTTGCAGTATAATGGAAGCCAAGATCATTTCCTATTTTTTCCCAGTATTTGAACTTTTCAGGAGTAATGTACTCTTCAACCTAGATTTAAAGAATCTGATCAGAATCTAGAATTTACCTAAATAATTTTAATTCTACAGAAAATCTATGCCCAGGTATATTATGAATGGTATTCATTTCATAATTTATTGTTGTTGTTGCTAAGTGCCGTTAAGTCAGTTCCAAGGCATAGTGACCCTGTATATGGATTCCTAGGAGCAGCTGGTGGGTTTGAACTGCTGAACTTGTGGTTCATAGTCCAGTGCTAATCCACAGTGCAGAGCCACAACAGAAGTTCTCAAAATTTATTAGGCACCCAGATTTTCTTTCTCCTACTGTCTACCCATTACTTGTTGGTAATGCTATCAGAATATAACTACAAGGAATCAGAGAGGTGGGGAGACATATCAATTTTATACTAATTAGTTATTTCAAAGGATGAAGAAAGAAGATGAGATTATATATCTGTCTCATTCCTTCATTGACTAACAGGTATAATGAAAACTTGGTAACATCTATATTCTTCAGAGTTCTGATGTGGCGCTGCGGGTTAATGCGCTGAACTGCTAAGTTGGTTTGAACCACAAGGTTGGCAGTTCAAGCTCACTAGCCATTCCTTGGAAACTCTCTACAGGGTCACAGTTGACTCAATGGCACTTAACAACATAATATTCTTGAGGACAAGCCTGTATCTTACTCATCTTGTATCTTTTGATTAGCATTGTGTCTGGCTTGCAAAACAATGGTTACTGCATGACAAAAGTTTCTTGAATGAATGAACAAACACCCAATGTAGAAATAGAAAGACTGGCTTCTGTTTCTCACTTCACCCTCTGGCTCTCACATGATTCTAAAACAAATCACAAGATCACCAAGTGTGAATGAACAAAATTTCTAACTTAAAATTTTACCCCCATAGATTTTCTTGAGTTGTACAATTTTGGGGACAGCAAACAAGTGCCAGTTGGGCTGCTTTCTGCAAGCAAAGTGGAAATTGGGACTTCAATAAATACATACAACACTATGCCAGCTTCTTAATTTTAGCTATGGAACTATATGCTTACTTCAAATTGCCAATGAACTTTTGGTAATAGAAGACAGGCATACCTTAAGGTGGCGCTTGGTTGGCTGCATATATTGTCCTAAAGTCAAACAGTCCACATCTGCCTCACGAAGTGCTATAGACAAAGTATACATTAGTAGATGCTATTACAATGTTAAAACTGGAGATCTAAACATACTTTTCCCAAAGAGCAGTTCAGAACAGTGTGAACTTTATGTTGGTCTGTAGTTCTGATGTTGGGGAATAAGGCTATATGTATTAACCCAGAAATATTTAAGGAGCTCTGGTAGCGTAGTGGTTACGAATCAGACTGTGAACCGCAAGGTCAGCAGTTCGAAAGTACCAGCTGTTCCGCGGGAGAAAGATGAGGCTTTCTGCTCCCATAAAGATTTACGGCCTCAGAAACCTTGTACAGGGTCGCTATGAGTCGGAACCGACTCCACGGCACATAACAACAACATTTATGTGCCAGGGTCTAAGGTAAGGATCAAAAACATAGGGATAAAGACAGTCATGTGATATGCTAGACACAAGGACTAATACCTCTAATATAAAGGAATAAATGTTAAAACGGGAACGTTTTAGAGCAGTTGTCTGTTAGGTACAAAAAGGTGAAGGAATCAGTATATATAAAGGTCTAAAAATTCCCATATTATAGAGCAAACATACTATATTAGGCTTCAAGTAAATAAGACAGGATATGCTCTGAGGGATGTGATTTGACTTCTTACACATAAGAATCTTTCTAAAAACAAGTTGTATTGTAGTAAAAAGCAACCTTTAATGACTATTTGAGCTTATTACTCTTTGAACCAATACCCTCAGGTAAAATAAACAATTCTATGTTTATGAATTTAAAAACACCAGAAATTACAAAACAAATGGGCTATGGGACTAAAGGTTAGCAAAATCCAAAGCAGACATGTTCTGATGATGCTACAAGTAAGCTTTTCTTCAAAGATCTAGACTGATCTTATCCATCTTTGAAGTGCATGAGTGCCTGGTAGGAGCTCTGGTAGCGTGGTGGTTACGAATTGGCTGCTAACCTCAGGGTCATCAGTTCTAAACTACCAGCTGTTCCGCGGGAGAAATATGAGGCTGTCTGCTCCCGTAAAGATTTACAGCCTCAGAAACCCTGTACAGGGTCGCTATGAGTCGGAACCGACTCCACGGTACTTAACAACAATAAAAACAACAACATGAGTGCCTGGTATTTGGCTGGCTCTCAAAAACTGACCAATGGCTACAGGAGAAAGGTGAATTCAGTCATGTCTTCACTTAATAAAAGAGTGGAGAACAAAATGAGATACAGTCCTGTAATGCCATTCAAAGATGTTCTATGAAAATCCATTTCCTTTCCTATTTATGCTGCCACTCAACAACCATCTGTTAGTTTTTACTGGCACTTATACCAAGGAGCTCTGGTACCATAGTGGTTACGAATCAGGCTGCAAACCACAAGGTTAGCAGTTCGAAACTACCAGCTGTTCCCCAAGAGAAAGATGAGGCTTTCTGCTCCTGTAAAGATTTACAGCCTCGGAAACCCTGTACAGGGTGACTATGAGTCGGAACTGACTCCACGGCACATAACAACAACATATTGAGATTGTGAAAGCCTTAATAAGGCCTTCAAAGTGGTGTTTTTGCTATCACCTAAATAAGAGTCATTTTTTTCCAGACTTTTTTTTACCTTTCATTGTTGCATATACTTGTTCATCATTCTCCCCTAAACCCAACATTATAGATGTTTTAGAAATAACATCTGGCCGAACCTCCTTAGCATGTTTCAGTACACGTAGAGACTGGTCAAAATTGGCCCGGGGATCACGAACTTTCCTTGAAAACACAAGGGCTGTTGTCAATAAAAAAATTACAATAAGTTCAACCAAGAAGAGTTATGCAAGCAACCTGACAGACCTAGAAAAGCAGATTCTGGACAACATATGTGGTTCATGGATAGCATTTGTGTACAAATATCTGTTAATTTAGGCAACAAAACAAGGCCTCATTGGGCCCCCTAGCTTCCTCTACTTAAAATTTAAGTCCTCTCAAACCTAGGGCAGAGAACCCAACAGAAGGAATCATTTTCATTTAGGAATTATTGAGAAATTAGAATTCAGAAGCTGAAAATTAGTGAGCGTATGGGGTAGTCAAGAGAAGCGGTGAAAGAGGGAACATAAAAAACCTGGATATTGAACAAAGAAAAAACTGTGTAATCTGGACCCTCATTTTGGAAGTTGGAAACTTCTATGTTCATTTCTTTTCTAAAGCCTTAGCTGCCCTCTGCTGGTAAGTATACAACATCGCCATTTCTTTGGTAAAGAAATACATGATTCTGGAATTTTCACTGGAAAGGCTATTTCTTAAGTGAAACCAAGGGAAATGGCACCCACTGGTGGTGGCACGTAAGATATGACAGGGTTGGAAAAGGCTTTGTGCCAGATTTCCACAACAGTCAGACCAGGCGAGAATGGCAGACAAAAAGGTCAAGTTACTGATATACCAGCATTCATTTGAATTCTAATACAGTCTTATTTTATCTAAATGATTTAAGATGTCTTTTTTTTTTTTTTTTTAATTAGACTAACAGGAAGAAAGAAACCTATAAATTTTTAAAAAAACAAACAAAACTGACATTACAGAACGCAATTACTTTTCCAAAAGATTTCTCCACTGAATTTATGCTATTCTTTTGAGTGTTTATCTGTGATTCAGTGGAAATACTATTTGTTTACCTTAACTTTTCCTAAGTTCTATGAAAGAATCATACGTATATTGTTGTAGTTAATTGCTGTGGAGTTGGTTCTGACTCATAGCAACCCTGTATAGGGTTTCCAAGGAGCAGCTGGTGAGCTTGAACTGCTGACCTTGTGGTTGAAATAAACCTCATTAACCCACAGCAACACACCAGGTATAAGCTAATAATAAAAAAAAAAATCTAAGTACTTTACTAAAATGAAAGGAAATGAATAATGTCTAATATTAATCTTGCCTGAAGGCTAAAATAATTTTATTTTTCTGACATTTGAATATAGTAAAAAATGTTGTCTCTAGTTATTCTGAACTAACAAAAATGGAAGGAAAACTAAAGTATCTATATTTTAAGAGATGTAAATTTTTTTCCTGGATAATTTATAGCACGTTAGTGTCAAACATATTCTTAAAGGCCTTTTCTTTAGAATTACAATAGAAACAAATGCTTTCACATATTTTTTTTCTCTATGAAACCTATGCTTTGAAAGAATTCCCCAGTGAAACCTTCTTAACCAGGACTTTTTTTGTTGGAGGCTTTTGACTACTGACTCAATTTCTTCACTTGTTATCAGTTTATTGAGATTTCTTTTTGAGTCACTTTAGGTAGATGATGTCTAAGAATCTGACCATTTAATCTAAATTATCAAATTTGTTGACATATAGTTTGTTCAGTGTTGTTGTTGTTCAGTACCATTGAGTAGGTTCCAACTCATAGCGACCCTGTATAGGTTTTCCGAGGAGTGGCTTGTGGATTTGAACCACTGACCTTGCAGTTCAAACTGACCTTGAGGTCCAGTGCTTATCTGGTAGTGCTACACTAGCACTCCACAGTTGTTCAAATTATTCAGTTGTTGTTAGGTGCTGTTGAGTTGAGTTGGTTCCAACTCATAACAACCCTACATACAACAAAATGAACCACTGTCCCGTCCCGTGCTACATTCACAATTGTTACATTTGATCCCACTGCTACTGCTATTGTGTCAAGCCCTCTCTTTTGGATTCTTTCTCTTTATTGCTAACCCTCCACTTTGGAAAACACGATGTCTTTCTCTAGGAACTGGTCCCTCCTGATAACATGTCTGAAGTATGAGAGTGAAAGTCTTGTCATCCTGGTTTCTAAGATGTATTCTGGCTGTACTGCTTCTAACACAGATTTGCTCGTTCTCCTGGCAGTACGTGGTACTTTTAATATTCTACTACAACATCATAATTCAAATGCATCGATTTCCTACTAGTCTGTCCAACTTTCACATGCATAAGAGGCTACTGAAAATATGGCTTGGGTTAGGCAAACTTTAGTCCTCAAATTGACATCTCTGCTCTTGAACACTTTAAAGAGGCTTTGTGAAGCAGATTTGCCCAGTGCAATACATCATTTGATTTCTTGACTACTGCTTCCATGAGTAAAATGAAATCTTGGACAATTTTAATCTTTTCTCCATTTATCATTATGTTGTTTATTGGTCCAGTGGTGAATTTTTTTTTATTTCTTTACATTGAGGTGCAACCCATACTGAAGGCTGTGGTCGTTGATCTTCCTAAGTAAATATTTTAAGTCCTCTTTGCTTTCAGCAAGCAAGGTTTTATCATCTGCACATCGTAGGTTGTTAATGAATTTTCATCCAATCCTGATGCCAAGTCCTTCTTCATAAACTCGTTTCTCGGTTTGTAAACTCAGTTTTGTTGAAAGAGTTCAGTTTGTATTCTGTCAATTCCTGGAGCCTTGATTTTTACCAACTATTTCACAAATCGGGCTGCTAACCTCAAGGTCGGCAGTTTGAAACTACCAGCAGTCCTGTGGGAGAAAGATGAGGCGTTCTGCTCCCATAAAGATTTACAGCCTCGGAAACCCTATGCAGGGTCACTGAGTTGGAACCGACTCCACGGTACTTAACAACAATAACAACATTTCATGAATAAGTATGATGAAAGGATACAATCCTGGCATACATCTTTCCTGATTTTAACCCATTCATTATCCCCTTGTTCTGTTTTCACAACTGCCTTTTGTTCTATGTACAGGTTCCTCATGAGCACAATTAAGTGTTCTGGTATACTCATTGTTCTCAATGTTATCCATAGCTTGTTGTGATACTTAAAACTGAAAGCCTTTGCATCATCAATAAAGCACACATAAACATCTTTCTGATACTCTCTGCTTTTAGTCAAGATCCATCGGACATCAGCAATGATATTCCTTGTTCCATGTCCTCCTCTGAATCTGGCTTGAATTTCTGGCAGTTTCCTGTTGGTGTACTACTGAAGCCATTTTTGGATTATCTTCAGCAAAATTTTACTTGCATGTAACATTGATGATATCGTCAGATGAGTTCTGCATTCCATTGGGTCATCGCTCTTTGGAATAGGCACAAATATGAATATCTTCCAATCAGTTGGCCACATAGCTGTCTTTCAAATTTCTTGGCATAGATGAGTGCCTCCAGTACTGCATCAGTTTGTTGAAAGATTTCAATTTGTATTCCATCAATTCCCAGAACTTTGTTTTTGTCAATGCCTTCAGTGATGCTTGGAAGTCTTCTTTCAGTATCATTGGTTCTTGACTACATGCTAACATTTGAAATGGCTGAACATCAACCATTTCTTTTTGGTACAGTATTCTGTTATGACGGACAATTTATCTATCAGTTTGTCAAACTATGTCGGCTTGCTTGTTGCTATGATGCTGGAAGATATTCCACCATGGTGTACGGGTTTCAGCAGAGCTTCCAGACTAAGACGGACTTAGGAAGAAGGATAAGTAGACTAGTTCTGAGTATTTAGATGCTTAAAACTTTATGAATGTTGTTGTTTAGTGCCATCAAGTTGGCTTTAACTCATAGTGACCCGGTATAGGGTTTCTGAGGAGTGGCTGGTGGGTTTAAACCACCAACCTTGTGGTTAGCAGTTCTACAGTTAGCTTATCCTACAGCACCACACCAAATGGCAGTGGATAAAGAGAGAGAAAATGTAAAAACTAAAAGTACAAATCAAAGTGGAGACAATACAACTGACCTAACAGAAACAAAAAGGGTCATAACCAAAACAAAACAAAACAAAACAAAACAAAACAAAACAGGTATTCATTCCGTTCTGACCCTCTGTATTTCTATTGGGTCAACTGTATTAGCTTCACTTCCATTTTTTTCTTGGTTATATGCATCTTCTCTCTTTCTGTCAGTCTAGCTAATTTTATTTTCCTTTTGAAAAAACTTAACTTTTGATTTTAGTTTTCTCGATTGCTTTCTATTTTCTATTTCATTTATGAAAACTGTATTTTGAAAAAATATCAGCACTTTTAGATTACTAAAAAGAAAAAAGGATGCACATTGCGTGTATATGTGCATTAAAACATATATTTTGTTGTTGTTGAAATGCTGTCAAATCAGTTCCAATTCACAGCGACCCTGTGCAGGATTTCCGAGTTGCAGCTGATGAGTCTGGATTGCCATCCTTGAGGTTCAAAAGGATCTTGTGTTAAGTATACGCAGCAGTGTTAATAACAGATATTTCTGGGGGAATACTGCAGCTATGTTCTTTTTGCTGGCTATATGTTCTGACTTTTCATACAGTGCTTTTGTTTAAAAAAGAAAAGTTCACTTTGAAAGAGTCGATTGCAAAGTTCTCCCCTAAAAATCAGGAGACAGCCCAGCAGATTGGATTCTCCCAACTTCCCCCATGCTCCTGTACACAGAATCACCTCTGTAATTCCGGGACTGTTTCTACATTATGTGCATACACATCTAATCCCGACAGAGATACTTTCTCTACTGCTTTAAGATCTCCTCGGAAGTCAGGGGTGAGGCATTCTACGAGAATTTTTGGATTCCTAGGGAGGAAAAAAAAAAAAAGATAAGTATCAAATTAAGGGAAACAACCGACATAATTATTGCTCAAAACAAAAATTTTCAGTACTCAATCAGTATCAGCTTTAAAACGTACTCAAAGTTTAGACTAACACTCTAATATGAAGATGCATAGCTAAGTTCATGACTGCTGAACCCCTAAAGATTTTCTGCAAATATGTACCTGGATGAACAAATAGGATGTGGTTTTTTTGTTTTTTGAGAAACAATCGCGTAACTTTCAGCAAAACATCAAAAAATTTTATAATGTCCTGCCCCACCAAAAGTTAATAACCATTGTTATAAAACACAAACTTTAAATAAACTGAATTTACATGAGATCAAATATGTCCTTAAATTACACAAACCAATGGAATAACCACACACCTTTCCTTTAAATATGATACAGTCTTTGCAAAGTGCTCAGCTCCCCCATCAGGAATATCTAGGAACAGAAGAATCCAATGCTCAAAATGATGTCAGAATTTAGTAAGAGCCAGCTTCTGAAAGAGGCCTACCACACTAACCATCTCGGTCCACAGACGTCAGGACCACATAATCCAGACCCCACTCTGCAATCGCCTTTGCAGTACTGTAGGGCTCATTGGCATCCAAAGGGGGCGGCTTTCTTGCAGTCTTAACAGAGCAAAATCTGCAGCCTCTTGTGCATGTATCACCCATCAACTGGAATAGAGGGGGCACAGTTTAAAGCAAAGACAGAGGGCCCTTAAGAACATAATGCTGAGAGAATAAAGCAAGCTGCAAAGAATGCGCAAAGTTTGATTCTGTTGATAAGAAGAAGTTTGAAATATTTAAAACTAAACAAGATATCCTGGTGTGGCACTGTAGGATAAGCAAGGACTGCTGACCACAAGATTAGCAGTTCAAACCCACCAGCTTCTCCTTGGAAACCTTACAAAGGGTCGCTATGAGTCAGAAACGACTCGACCACACTTAACAACAACAAACAACATATAGTTAAGGGACACAGATAGAAATGATAAAATGAGAAGAAAAAAAGAGGATACAGTAAACTCAGAATTAAGAATAGTATTAAGATGGTGTTATGAAGATAATACTAATGTTCTACTCTCAAAATGGAGGTGAGTATCTGGGTATCTGTTGTACTGCATAGCTTACTCCCAGTTTTTAAACCTTTGGTATCTGCTCAATGATCAATAAAAATGACTTTGAAATAAAGAAAATATATTACTGTTTAACAGACAAGCTCTTTCTGTTAAACAGATTTAACACAAAAACACACAAAAGATAAGCAATCATAAGTAACATTAGCTGTCAGAGACATGGCAGACTCAATAACAAGCAAATTCAGAGGAGGCTGGATTACTCGGTCAGGTTTTCTTGCTTCACATCTCTCACAAACTCACACGTTATGAAAACTCTGATCAGGAATTCAGAGCACACATTCTGAATTCTCCAGTGAAGCCACCTGGAAGATACAACACAGACCCTATCAGTTTCCAGACTGCATGCGTCAGTGTGTGAAGCTAGGCTTACCATGATGGTGGCTGTGGCTGTGGCGAACTCTCCACCTCCCCAGCACTCTCCAATATTGGGACACCGTGCTTCCTCACACACCTGGGAGCAAAAGGAACCGAATGCAGCGGAGCTGAAAAAGTCTCCAACTGAACAACCAGTGACTAGGCATTTTAAACTGCCAATTATTTAAACAGATTTATTAAAAAAAAAGTCACTATTCAAAAAATGCTGTTAAACTGTCAACTCATATGTGTACTAAGATTATTCAATTTTTAAAGTAAAAGACTATGAATGTATGGAGTCCTGATGTGGCGCTGTAGGCTCAGCACTGGACCACAAGGTCGATTTGAACTGCAAGGTCAGTGGTTCAAATCCACCAGCTGCTCCTCGGAAACCCTATACAGAGTCACTATGAGTCAGAACTGACTTGGTGGCAATTAACAACACCAAATAAAAAGATCTCTTAGTCTGACCATTACAGTGATGTGCTTAATATTTGAGATTGTGTATTTGACATGCTTTCACAATCAATTTTATACTATTACTGATGAATGCATACTTTATTTGTAACACAAAGCAAATTAACAACAAATAATCCCCTATTCTCAAATTGTGTGTGTGTGTGTGGGTGGGGGGACGACATACTTTTTTTTTGTTTTGGACTAGGAAATGAGAGGCTAAGAAATGCAATTAACTTTTCTCTTTTGTGGGGAACATGATTTCAAGTGTACTTCTATTACTGAGAGTAATATATCACTAAATACTTTTATTCCCTTTCCATGCTTTGTAATTTACACAAATAAACTTTTACATTAGGCATACTTAGAAACACTATGGGTTTTGGTTAAGTGTTAAAACTTGAACACACTTACTGTATGGAGATTTAAACTCCTCAATGTGTTTTTCAGCTTATTGTAATTCTTCCCTATGGGAATTTCTGTCTTAAGCCAAGGAGGAAGCCTTAACCTGAGGACAAGAAACATAACCATATGTTAACAAATAACATGACCAAATAATCACACAGCTTTTAAGTTAACTTGCTCCATCACAATTCCTAGTTAAGACTTTCCCCCGTAATCCTGGGTAAGCTCATATTTCCCATCGTAAGTGTAAGAGAAATGCATTTAGATATGCTCAATTACTTGGGAAAACACTGACAATGAAGCTGAATAGGGCACTATTTTCATGTCTACCTTTTGCAAAAACATGGAGTCAGTACAAGAATGACTGACTTATAAAAGAATGAGACATTTTTGAACATCTCATTCCCCAATGAATAATACTGCCACAAAACACTGTATGGGCTCAGACTCAGGAGAAATCCCAACAGTGCACTATCCACTTTACATTCTAGACTTTATGATAGTTACTAATGCAAAAAGGAGCCTGGGTGGCTCAGTTAAGAGCTCAGATGCTAACCAAAAGGCTGGCAGTTTGAAAAAGACTTGGTGGTCCACTTCTGTAAAGATTCTAGCCATCAAAACCCTAGGCAGTTCTTCCGTCACATGAAGTCACCATGAGGAGAAAATGGCTCAAAGACACTCAACAGTAACAACAACTAAATGGAAAAAAACTACAACTTTGAGGGGATTCTAAGTAACCTCAGGTTCCTCTTGATTTCTACCCACTTGTGATCGAGAAGTTGTTGGATAAAGTATCTCTAAAGACAGTTTGCCAATGTACAGGATTTCCCTTACCATTCTTTTAAATGAAGGCAGGCAAGGCAGCCAGAGAAAGGCATACAAAATTGGATTGGGAGAAGTAAGTTAGACTGTCAGCACTACGTAACAATGAAAAATTTATAAAGCTCCGAGTAACAAAGTGATATAATATTGACTTTGAAGAAATTAGATGCTGGGCAGAAAATAGATGATGGCAGTAGAGAATGGTGTGGTGCTGAGAATAAACACTGGACTAATGACCAAACCCACCAGTTGCTCCCCAGAAATTCCATACAGGGTGGCTATGAGTCCAAACCAATTCATTGGCACTTAACAACTACAGTGGAGATTAGTTAGAGCTCCTGGAGTAAGTCCTAGGAAGCTTGAAGAAAAGCTGTCAAAGGAGACAGAAAAGAATTCCAATACCTTCACTTACTTCCCGGCTGTAAGGAGATTTCCTGTTATCACTTCTTTCAAATGATTTTAATAAGTTTGAAATATAAAAAAAATGCTCTGTGTTGTTGTTAAGTGCTTTGGAGTCAAGTCTGACTCATAGCAACCCAGTATAGGATTTCTGAGGAGCTGCTACTAAATTTGAACCACCGACCTTGCAGTCCAGTGCTTATCCCACAGTGCCACACCAGGACTCCAAAAAATACTGTAGTTCTCACTTGTATCTGGAAATAATGCACAATGAAGGCATGACACATTAAAGGTATCTCAAATTTTCAATTACCTTTCTCCTTTTTGACGTTTTAGGTTTCCTTTATATTCATCCCAGGTACTCTTGTCTGCAAGATCACCAGATACAAAATCTTGAAGATCTGGTCCATTCTGTAAAAACTCCTTCTTTTCATCTGGCGAAGAACTTAGTGTTCTGAGTGGGCAACATAAATATCTTCCTAATACCTAAAGAAAGAGTTCATTATACCTTGAGAAAGTACCACAGTTTAAATTTTCTATCTTTGACTTGCATCAGGGACATTTAGAAAGAAATTTGCAATCTTTCTGTTTTAGACTTTGGAGACGCATCAATGCTAAACACAGGAACTTTTCTAGTTTATGTTGTATTTGTGTTTGAACATCAGTTACTCAATATGTACATATTGAATGTAGGAAACCACGGTGTTTGGCCTTTGTATGTGAACAGAAATGTATACAACACAGCTAAAACATTACAGTTCAAGAATAAGCAAAAGAATCTTCAACAATTCACAGAGAGTACCTATTGGGGATGAGAGGCATGACTGTTAGTGCAACTGCCCAGGCCTCCTCCTAAAGTCTAGAGCACTCACAAGGTTTTCAAGAACTAGATGGTTTTTAGGAACTAGATTGCCCAGCCTGTAGTCCATGGTGCCTCTGGGTAGGTTCAAATTACTAACTTGCTAACCTTTGGGCTAGTAACCCAGTGCTTAGCCACTTATGTTACCCAGGGACGCCTGTCGAACCCAATAAAAAGTACTAATTTGAAGTACACATTGACAGGGAACTGCCAGAGATTGGTTCAAGCTGGATTCAGACAATGATGTGGAACGAGGGATATCATTGCTGACGTTATAATGGATCTTGGCTGAAAGCAGAGAATACCAGAAAGATGTTTACCTGTGCTTTATTGACTCTGCCAGGGCTTTTGATTGTGTGGACCATGACGAGCTATGGACAATATCATTGTTATGTTGTTGTTAAGTGCCATCGAGTCGGTTCCGACCCATAGCGACCCTATATTCATTCTCTATGATGGACAATATCATAGAGAATGAATATTCCAGAACACTTAATTGCGACCAAGAGGCAGTTGGTTCAACAAAACAAGGGGACCCTGAATGGTTTAAAACCAGTAAAAGTGTGTGCCAGGGTTGTGTTCTTTCATTATACTTACTCAATCTGTATGCTGAGCAAATAATCTGAGAAGCTGGGTTCTATGAATAAGACTGTGGCATCAAGAAGACTGGAGGAAGACTTGCAATATGCAGATGATACAACCTTGTTTGCTGAAAGTGAAGAGGACTTAAAATACTTACTGATGAAGAGTAAAGACCACAGTCTTGGATATGGGCTGCACTTCAATGTAAAGAAAACAAAAATCCTCACCAATGGACCAATAAATTGTTGTTGTTGTTGCAAAGTACCATGGAGTCGGTTTTGACTCATAGTGACCCTGCACAGGGTTTCCGAGGTTGCAAATCTTTACGGGAGCAGAAAGCCTCATTTTTCTCCCATGGAACAGCTGGTAGTTTCGAACTGCCGACCTTGAGGTTAGCAGTCTGATTCGTAATCACTACGCTACCAGATCTCCTTGGACCAAAAATAACATAAATGGAAAAAAGACTGAAGTTGTCAAAGACGTGTCACTATCAACACTCATGGAAGCAGCAGTCAAGAAATTAAATCACATAATTGCATTAGGCAAATCTGCTGCACAAAACCTCTTTAAAGTGTTTAAGAGCAAAGATGTCAGTTTGAAGACTAAGGTGTGTCTGACCCAAGTTGGCTAATGCGTCAGACTGCAAAGTCATTTGAACTGCAAGGTCGGTGGTTCAAGCCCACCAGCTTCTCCTTGGAAACCCTATACAGGGTCAGGATCCACTCAGTGACACTTAACAACAACAACATATGCATGTGAAAGTTGGACAATGAAAAAGGAAAACTGTTGCAAGAATTGATGCATTTGAGTTACAGTGTTGAATACTGAAAATACCATGAACTGTCAGAAAAACACACAAATCTGTGTTGGAAGAAGTATAGTCAGGAGGATTAGAAGCCAGGATGGCAAAACTTGTCTCTCATACTTCGGACATACTATGAGGCGAGACCAGTGTCTGGAGAAGGACATCATGTTTGGTAAAGTGAAGGGTTAGTGAAAAAGAGGAAGACCCGTAACAAGGTAGACTGGCACAGTGCAACAGCTATGGGCTCAAGTGTAACAATTGTGGGAATGACTCAGAACCAGGCAGTGTTTAGTTCTGTTGTGCATAGGGTCGCTCTCAGTCGGAACCAACAACAACAACAATAATTTGGAGTACTCTGTCCTGGTGTGGAGCTATAAAACAAGCACTAGACTGTTAACCGCAAGGACGGCGGTTCAATCCCACCAGCGTCTCCTAGGAAACCCAGAACAGGGTCTGGAGTGGGAATCGACCAGAGGGCACGTAACAGAAATACCAACAATCCCACCCTGCTAGCCCTACCGCTCACCCGGTGTCCCAGGGTGCGGGCGACTCCGCCGCAGCGCAGAGACATCCTCTCTTTGGGTTTATGGGGTCCAGAAGCCAAGAGATAAACGAGATTCCCAGACAAGGACGGATCAACAAATCGTCGCTAGATTTATGACAGGGTATTTGAGACATTATAAAGTCTCTGGAAGTTGAGCTGCTCTGCGATTGACTGCTTTAGCCTTAGAGGAGTCGCACACTCATGACGCAACACGCAGGGCTCACCCCTATGGGATACAAAAACGTGATGACGAAATACGTTCTTTCTTTGCCGCATCTACTGCGAGGTGAGGTTGATTTTTGGATTCCACTGGCTCCGGGAATCTAAAGCCATCGTCTCTGGGAATGCCGGCTCCCCGAGTCTGGCACGAGGATTACTTACTATGGTTGTTCCCCTGCATGGCGAGCGCAATATGGACCTGGTGGCGCCGGGATTCGGGCCCTGTCCTGGCCTTATAGGCCTGCTCTCTCACCTCCGTTCCCTCGCCTATTCCGGGATGGCAGGGCCAGATGGGGCACTCGGGTCCGGAAAAGTGGCTTCGGCTTGACATTCCCGAGCGGTTTAAGGGTTGCTCCTTCCATGGGGAAACATACCCGTGGCCTCTCGGGCTTTGGTCCGCGCCTCTTTCCCGGGGGATTTCTGCCTGGCGGTCTCGGTAGGAGTGGGACTCGGCGGGTTGGTTTGGTGGAAAACCGACCCCGAGCCGACTTTCTTACCCCGACTGTTTGTGTTTCAGAATGAAGACCATTCTCAGCAACCAGACTGTGGACATTCCGGAGAATGGTATGCAGTTGGTGTCAGCTGCTTTCTTTGGTTAGCACGTCCCAGGGCTGGTCCTGTGTCCTCACGAATCTCTGTTCTGTTGTAGTCGACATCAGTCTGAAGGGTCGCACCGTCATCGTGAAGGGCCCCCGGGGAACCCTGCGGAGGGACTTCAACCACATCAATGTGGAGCTCAGCCTCCTGGGAAAGAAAAAGAAGAGGGTGAGCTTTGACTACCACCATTTCCGGTTAGATTTTAGCAGATGATGAACTTGTGTTTGTGCAGGAGAGTTGTTAAACATTCAGGGTTGTGTTGGTGTTAAGTTTTTTTCAGCTGAAAAATCAGCCTTTAATTAGGGATGATTCTAGAATTTAGACTAATAAGTAAGTAAACTAATAATTCTAGCTGACTTCTAGGGAAAATCCTCTAATAAAGGTTTTTGTTGCATTACAGCTCCGTGTTGACAAATGGTGGGGAAACAGAAAGGAACTGGCTACAGTCCGCACCATCTGTAGTCATGTGCAGAATATGATCAAGGGCGTTACCCTGGTAAGTACGTTGGTCAAACTTTGTTTTTTAGATGGGAGGCTTATAATCTGTGCTTTGTAGTACGAACCACTTACTGATGTGAAATTTTTGGACTTGGAAAACTAATCTGGGCCTCTGTGTTTCATAGCCACTCCTTGTGTCTTTACGATTAGTGAAATGGGTTGATAGATAGTATGCGTACTAGTGTAATGGTAGCACTATGGGTTAGGTGTAGTAGTGCTGACCACAAAATGAGCAGTTCAAAACCACAGGTTGCACCTCAGGAGAAAGATGAGGCTGTCTGTTCTTGGAAAGATTTACAGTTTCAAACGCCATACAGGGTTGCTCTGAGTTGAAATTGACCCCACTGGCAGTGAGTTTGGTTTTTGGTAGAACCTACTTCTAGGAGTCCTGGTGTGATGATGTGGGATAACCCACCAGCTGTTCCTTGAAAACCCTATATATATGGTCACTGAGTTGGAATCAACTTGGTTGCACTTGGCAATTTCCAGTGTAGAAGCTCTGGTAGCACTGTTGGATAGGTACTGCTAGCCATAGGTCAGCAGTTCAGAACCACCAGATGCATCTGTACAAGAGAAATAGGCTTTCTGCTCCCATAAAGTTTCACAGCCTTGAATACCTGATGGTTGGTTATGTGTCAAGGAGTTAGTTCTGATTCTGTAAATTTAGTTAGTTTCTGAGGCTATAAATCTTTATCGGAGCAGAAAGTCATCTTTCTCCCACCAAACAGTTGGTAGTTTTGGACTGCTGACCTTGAGTTTAGCAGTCCAATTCCTGACCACTATTCTAAGAGACAGGGAATCAATTCGATGGCAGTGGGTGGAGCCTTGGCTGTAAACCTGTCAGATCATGTTCCTCTTTATCACATTGAGAAGTCAACTGCTTTCTGAGGGCCTTGTTAAAGTGCCTTGGAGTTGCTTCTTACTCTCCACCCTGCATAAGGCTTCCAAGGACCGACCGTTGGGTTAGAACCACCAATCTTGGAGTTAGCAGTCGATGTTTATTCTTACAGCATCACACCAGGACTCCTATGTGGGCCTTGGGAGGTGATAAATGCCTCAAGATTCCATTGAGAGAAATGTTTGCATACACAATGCTTATAAGACTTAGCGTAAGTGACAACATAAAACCTCAGTGAGTACTATGTGAGGATTTAAAATTTGTCTTTATTGTAGTGTAGGTATAATGTATATATTCTCTAAATTTTATTTATTTTTTTAACATAGGGCTTCCGTTACAAGATGAGGTCTGTGTATGCTCACTTCCCCATCAACGTTGTTATCCAAGAGAGCGGGTCTCTTGTTGAAATCCGAAACTTCTTGGGTGAAAAATACATTCGTAGGGTTCGGATGAGAGCAGGTATGTGCTTACTCATTCCCGCACTTTTGAAGACTGATGCTTTGGGTTTCCTATGTGTAAAACCAGATTGTGATACAAATGGTTAAGTGCTTAACTGAAAAGTTGATGGATCATACCCACCCAAAAGTTCCTCAGAAGAAAGCTCTGGGAAATCTGCTTTGAAAGGTCACAGGCATGAAATTTCTGTGTACCCATCTATACAGTTCTGCTCTGCATATGTCAGGTCAAAATGGTCTGAATCTACTTGAAGGCAACTAGCTTTTTTATGACTAAACCTAGATTTACTTGGAATAGTCTTTTGGTTACGTTTATCGTATATCTTTTTACCAGTTTTGATTCTGAATGGGTTATGTGTTAAAGTAGTTTGTGGTGGTGGTGGTTATGTGCCGTGGAGTCAGTTCCAACTCTTAGTGACCCTGTACAGGGTTTCTGAGGCTGTAAAACTTAATTGGAGCAGAAAGCCTCGTCTTTCTCCCATGGAAAGATGTTTTCAACTGCTGACCTTGCGGTTTGCAGCCTGATTTTTAACCACTAAGCTATTAAAGACTTGTTATAGAGGTTTGTATAGCTAAATCAGAGTATCTTCCTCATATTCCTTATTTAGATCTCTGAAAGTGTCTAGGCACTCTGAGACAGTGAGCGAATCAAATGAACACACACAGATTTTGGCCCAGAAAGAAAAAGTCTCAGTTTGTTTGCTGTGAATTCTAAATGCACCACATAGATTTTGTTTTTGTGTTACTGATATTACACAAATGGTTTCCCTCTTTTAGGTGTTGCTTGTTCAGTATCTCAAGCCCAGAAAGATGAATTAATTCTTGAAGGAAACGACATTGAACTTGTATCAAATTCAGGTTGGTATGTTTACTATGAAATGTTAACTTAATACCTCTGACGTGAGTCTACATCTTAGTTGAACATATGGTGTGAATTTGTTAGAGAGTAACTTGTTTTGTTTTTGCACTTCTGTAGCTGCTTTAATTCAGCAAGCCACAACAGTTAAAAACAAGGATATCCGAAAATTTTTGGATGGTATCTATGTGTCTGAAAAAGGAACTGTCCAGCAGGCTGATGAGTAAGATATAAAAGGTAGGTTTAAGTGGCAATAAATATTTTGACTACTTTACTAAGTGAGACCGACAGCACACAAGGCAGACTTGACATGCATTTACTAGTAACCCAATTGTTTGAACCCACTAGTCCTTCTAGGGAAAAAAGATGTTTACAGTTTGCCTCTGTAAAGGTTTATAGCTTAGGAACTCTATTGGATTCATATGAGTCTGAATTGACAGCAATGGGCTGGATGTTTTGTTTGACCATTGGTGTGCTACTTGTTCAGTGCTCTGGATTCTGACTCATCGCAGCCCTGTATAGAGGTTCCAAGGAGTTTTTGAATTGCCAACCTTGTAATTAGCAGTCCAGTGCTCCGACAAGAGCACACCAGGACTCCATATTGAAATGTTAGACTCAGTCCAATTTGTGAAATGAGCTTTTCTGGGCATGAGGGTATTGGATGGTGGAGATTTACAGAACTTTTCTCTCTTTTTTTTTTTTGGTTACAGTTGTCCAGCTATGGAGACAAAGCCTGAATGATTCCTAAGTCCTATTGGTGGTAATTTTGATGTAATAAAATTTAACTAAGCATTTTGGTCTTGCATTTTTTAAAAGCTGTTTCCATCCTAAATGCTATTAAGATTCATAGTCTTCAAATAAAACTGCTTTCCAATTAATTGGAGAGTTCGTAAGTGCAGTTGAGTAAGTTCTGACTCACACCCTGTACCAGGGTTTCCAAGGAAAAGCTGGTAATGTCAACCTTGCAGTTAGCAGTTCATTGCTTAGATACACCAG